AATTCGCTTCTGGAAAAGAGTGTCTTGCAAAAAAAATTTACTAAATGTAAAATAAAATGTACATGTATGAGGGTGCCCATGTTTATGGATTTAGGGTTGTACCTGGTAGGTTTGTTGATCATTTGTGTGAGATTGAGGGCATCTAGTTTGGATTGTAGGATGGCCGGGGTGTTAAGCATATCCCAATTTAGGTCACTAAGCAGTACGAACTCTGAGGATAAATGGGGGGCAATCAATTCACGTATGGTGTCCAGGGCACAGCTGGGGTCTGTAGCAAGCGGCAACAGTGAGAGACTTATTTCTGGAAAGGTGGAATTTTAGAAGTAGAAGCTCAAACTGTTTGGGCACAGACCTGGATAGTATGATAGAGCTCTGCAGGCTATCTCTACAGTAGATTGCAACTATAGTTCTATCTAGACGGAAAATGTTGTAGTTGGGGATGGACATTTCAGATTTTTTTTTTCTCCAGGATTCAGACGTTGCTAGAACATCAGGGTTGGCGGAGTGTGCTAACGCAGTTAATAACTCAAACTTAGGAAGGAGGCTTCTGATGTTAACGTGCAGAAAACCAAGGCTTTTATTACAGAAGTCAACAAATGATAGCTCCTGGGGAGTAGGAGTGATACTGGGGGCTGCAGGGCCTGGGTTAGCCTCTAAATCACCAAAGGAACAGAGGAGGACTAGAATAAGGATACGGCTAAAGGCTTTCAGAACTGGTTTTCTAGTGCGTTGGGTACAGAGAATAAAGGGGGCAGATTTCCGGGCGTTGTAGAATAGATTCAGGGCATTATGTACAGACAAGGATATGGAAGGATATGAGTACAGTGGAGATAAACCTACAGTGTGTGTGTGTGTATATATATATATATATATATATATATATAGTTCCAGTCAAAAGTTTGGACACACCTACTCATTCAAGGTTTTTTCTTATTTTACTATGTTCTACATTGTAGAATAATAGTGAAGACATCAAAACTATGACATAACACATATGGAATCATGTAGTAACCAAAAAAGTGTTAAACAAATCAAAATATATATTTTAGATTGTAGATTTTGAAAAGTAGCCTCCCTTTGCCTTGATGACAGCTTTGCACAATCTTGGCATTTTCCAGGCACAGCCAATCAGAATGAGTTTTTCCCCACCTAAAAGGGATTTATTACACCCCTCAGACGAGCAAGTAGGTGAAGAAGCCGAATGTGGAGGTCCTGGGTTGGCGTGGTTACATGTGGTCTGCGGTTGTGAGGCCGATTGGACGTACTGCCAAATTCTCTAAAATGACATTGGAGGCAGCTTATGGTAGAGAAATGAACATTCAATTCTCTGGCAAAAGCTCTGGTGGACATTCCTACAGTCAGCATGCCAACTGCACGTTCCATAAAAACTGGACACATCTGTGGCATTGTGTTCTGTGACAAAGCTGCACGTTTTAAAGTGAGCTTTACCTTGACAAAATCCTGTCTCGGAGCTCTACGGACAATTCCTTTGACGTCATCCCTTGGTTTTTGCTCTGACATGCACTGTCAACTGGGGGGACCTTATACAGACAGGTGTGTGCCTTTCCAAATCATGTCCAATCAATTCAATTTACGACAGGTGGACTCCAATCAAGTTGTAGAAACATCTCAAGGATGATCAATGGAAACAGAATGCACCTGAGCTCAATTTCGAGTCTCATAGCAAAGGGTCTGAATACTTATGTAAATAAGGTATTTCTGTTTTTTATTTTTTATACATTTGAAAACATTTTTAAAAAACTGTTTTCGCTTTGTCATTATTGTCACACCCTGGCTCTGGGACTCATTATGTTGAGCCAGGGTGTGTTCATTCTATGTGTGTATTTCTATGTTGGTAATTCTGTTGTGTTGATTTCTATGTTTTGCCTGAGTGACTCCCAATCAGAGGCAACGAGTGTCAGCTGTTGGCTGGTTGTCTCTGATTGGGAGCCATATTTAAACTGTATGTTTTCCCTTTGTGGTTGTGGGTTTTTGTTCCGTGTTCGGTCATTGATACCGTGGACGTCACGAGTCGTGTTTTGTTTTGTATTTTGACGCTTTAACTAATTAAAGTCATGTTTGTTCATCACGCTGCGCCTTGGTCTACTCCTTACCTCGATCTTGACAATTATGTGGTATTGTGTGTAGATTGATAAGGACATTCCCCCCCCAATTTTTGTTTTGAATTAGGCTGTAACATAACAAAATGTAGAAAAAGTCACAGAATGGGACCAGCAACACTCACTATCGAGTTCCAAACTGCCTATGGAAGCAACGCCAGCACAATAACTGTTTGTTGGTAGCTTCATGAAATGGGTTTCTATGACTGAGCAGCCGCACACAAGAGGTCACCATTCGCAATGCCAATGCAGCTGGAGGGGTGTAAAGCTCGCCACCTTTGGACTCTGAAGCAGTGGAAACGCGTTCTATGGAGTGATGAATCACACTTCACCATCTAGCAGTCCGACGGACGAAACTGGGATTGGTGGATGCTAGGAGAACACTACCTGCCCTAATGCATAGTGATAACTGTAAAGTTTGGTGGAGGAGGAATAATGGTCTTGGCTGTTTTTCATGGTTCGCGCAAGGCCCCTTGGTTCCAGTGGAGGGAAATCTTTACGCTACAGCATACAATGACATTCTAGATGATTCTGAGCTTCCAACTTTGTGGCAACAGTTTGGGGAAGGCCGTTTCCTTTTTCAGCATGACAATGCCTCTGTGCACAAAGCGAGGTCCATACAGAAATGGTTTGTCAAGATCAGAGTACAAGAACTTGACTGTCCTGCACAGAGCCCTGACCTCAACCCCATCGTGAAAACCTTTGGGATGAATTGTTGAGGAGTTGATGAGACTAAACTGTTTGGAGTAACCCTGGATTGTAAACTGTTATGGTCAAACAGTAGCTAGGATGGGAGAAGTCTGTCTATAATAAAGTACGGATTGAAAAAAGTAAGGGGCCTAGACAGCTGCCCTGGGGAATTCCTGATTCTACCTGAATTTTGTTGGAGAGGCTTCCATTAAATAACACCCTCTGTGTTATGTTAGACAGGTAACTCTTTATCCACAATATAGCAGGGGGTGTAAAGACATAACACATACGTTTTTTTAGCATCAGACTACGATCGATAATGTCAAAAGCTGCACTGAAGTCTAACAAAACAGCCCCCACAATATTTGTATCATCAATTTCTCTCAGCCAATCATCAGTCATTTGTGTAAGTGCTGTACTTTTTGAATGTCCTTCCCTATAAGTGTTGTCAATTTGTTTACTGTAAAATAGCATTGTATCTGGTCAAACACCATTTTTTCCAAAAGTTTACAAAGGGTTGGTAACAGGCTGATTGGTCGGCTATTTGATCCAGTAAAGGGGGCTTTACTATCCTTAGGTAGGGGAATATCTTGTGTTTCCCTCCAGGCCTGAGGGCACACACTTTCTAGTAGGCTTAAATTGAAGATTTGGCAAATAGGAGTGGCAATATCGTCAGCTATTATGCTCAGTAATTTTCCATCCAAGTTGTCAGAACCCGGTGGCTTGTCATTGTTGATAGACAATAATACTTTTTTCACCTCTTCCACACTTACTTTAGGGAATTCAAAATTACAATGCTTGTCTCTCATAATTTGGTAAAATTTGATTTAAAAAACAGATAAAAATACACGTTATGGAACAGCGGGGAATGTGAAGTAACACAAACATAGACACATGAATACAACCACACGTACACATGGATTTTGTGTTATAGATATGTGGTAGTAGAGTAGGGGCCTGAGGGCACACACTTAATATGTTGTGAAATCTGTTATGAATGTATTGTAATGGTTTTAAAAATGTATAACTGCCTTAATTTTGCTGGACCCCAGGAAGTGTAGCTGCTGCCTTGGAACTCTGATTGCGAGCGAGGCCTAATCGCCCAACGTCATTGCCTGACCTCACTAACGCTCTTGTGGCTGAATGGAATTAAGTCCCCGCAGAAATGTTCCAACATCTGGTTTAAAGCCTTCCAAGAAGACTGAAGGCTGTTGTAGCAGCAAAGGGGGGACCAACTCCATATTAATGCCCATGATTTTGGAATGAGATGTTCAACGAGTAGGTGTCCACATAATCTTGGATATGTAATGTATTATACATCCACTTCCAAAATATCATTTGTTGAATCATGGTTGACTCCATCATTTGTAAAAAGTTTCTGTAAATTATTTTCGGCAGCATTTCTATGTTGAAGATTCAAAAAGAATTTGGTGAATATTTTCCCGTTTTCCATCCAGTTCACTTTATTGTTGTAATAAATTACTTTTGATAGTTCCTGAATAAGTTCCTCTATTTCTTTTTGTTTTCCCCCTAACATATTCTGTGTCCCTATAGTACAGATTTTATTGCTATCCATCTTTACTGTTATTTCTTCAATTTCCTTTCTTAATATTAACTATTTTTACAGATTTAAAAAATATATTTGTTTGGTTTTTGGTTTTAAAGATGAGTATTGAATTGCATGACCTCTGGAGGCTCATTTGAAAGTGTCCCATAAAATAAGGGGATATGTTGTACCAACATGCGTTATGCAGGAAAAATACAGTTATAAATGATTTTGTCTTGGTTACAAACAGTTTGTCATCCAGTATACTTTGATTACATTCCCAATTCCTCGCCCAAGTAGAAATTCTGTAAGAGTCATGCGGAAGCCAATTATTTGATGGTCCGACCTCATTCTGCCCCATATCAAAACTGTTTTTCTTTTGGTGCCAGTTAGGACACAAGAAAGTAGTCAAGAGGACTAGCTTGATTAAGACTCCTCCATGTATATCTCACCAGGTCAGGATTTTAATCCACTAGTT